TAGGACATAAGAATTTAGTGTTAGTGGAGGACTTTAGAAATAGTAATTGAAAGGCCCATATGTGGTTATGTATTAAATTTTGGTATATTTTGTGATGAAGGACACTTAAATAATTATAGGCAAATGAAAATGGAGATAGGATTATGGTGATATGTATAAATATTTGAGTTAAAATACTTAAGTTAATATGAATTATATTTGTTGACTGTGGAACAGATGGACGAAAGTCTTTTTGTAACCAACTGATACACTTTCTATAGCATGTAAAGAAGGATGTTGTATTTGTTTTAAATTAAAAATTAAAACAATTATTAAAACAAAACAGTAGTGACCTTCAGGTTTCTGGGTTCTATAATCTTCCAGGACTTGAAATGGACCCGTAAGTTTAGAACCATCATTAAAAAGGCACAACAAAGAATGCTCTTCCTGTGTAAACTCAGCAAGTTCAGATTACCAAAGGATCTGCTAATACAGATACAGATTAATACAGAGGAATTATTGAGTCTGTCATTTGTACTTCAATAATTGTCTGGTTTGGCACAGCAACCCAACAGTTATTCTATTCTAAAAATCTTCCCATACAAAGTTTCCTCTCATCAAGATGACAGCAGGAGTTTAGAAAAGAGCCTTTTCTAAAGGCAGTTTTTTTGGCCATTTTTGGGACGTTTTCAAGCTGGAAAACATCTGAAGCTGCCACCTCTTTGCCAGTGCGAGCAGCCTCCAGCCGCCGCTCTTTCTCAGCTGGAACTGAGCCAGCGGCTAGAGGCTGCTTGTGTCGGTAAAGAGCGGCGGCTTGAGTCTTGCATTGAAAAATAGAGGCAGCTGCTGCAGGTAGGCTGGCTGGCCGGGAGTCTCTCGACTGGGGCTTTCCACAGTGGCAGTTAGGGAGCTAACCTGGGCCTGCACAGTGCGCGCAATGGAGACACAACAGTGGCAGAGATAGCCAGGCAAGACAGGACGGAGGGTGCTAGCTAGGCTGTGTCCTCTGTGATGGAAACACGGCGGCAGCAGCAGAGCTAACCAGGCAAGGGCGGGAACGGAGGGTGCTAGCTAGGCCACGTGCTGCGTGCAATGGAGATGTGGCGGCAGCAGAGCTAGCCAGGCAAGGCTGAGGATAGAGGTGGGGGCACCTAGCTAGTTAGGCCATGCATCACGTGTGATAGAGATGTGGCAAAGCTAGCCAGGCGAGGCCGGGGACAGAGAGGGGGAGCGCAGCGGCAGCAGCCTAGGCCAAGCCGGGACTCAACACCCGACCAGGACTTTCCGCAGCGGCAGCAGCAGGTAGGCTGGCCAAGCCGGCCTGGCAGTCTACTCAACTGACCCTAGGCTGGCTCGGGAATTGACTCGAACGGAGCCTGCAGACTCTCCCCCAGGGAGATCAGGGTCTTGGCAGAAGGCAGGCAGCAATGGCACATGAAGGCAGGCAGGCAGCAATGGCGGGCAAGGGCAGGTTAGCAATGGCGGGTGAGCTGGTAAGATGAGGAATGATTGGGCAGGCTGGAAGGGTTGGGGCCAGCCAGTGGTGTGATTTGCCAGTTTTCCGAACTTGGCAAAATCATAACAAGTGGTTCGTGCAAACGGCTCCATACTGGCTGAATCTCACCCCTGATTCCACCTTAATGATCCAACAGGAGCCTGAATCCAACAAATAGCAGCAGAACAGCACAGATAATCCTATTTTATATGTAATAAAGTAATACAGCAAGTTATTTGGCATAAGTACTTTAGAAACATCTGTAAATTTTGTAAAGTGGTCCTAATTTGTTGAAAGCTACATTCCTTGATATTTTATAGGCTTTTCTATGCATTGTTGATATAGAAAATGTGCAAAAGTATACTTTTATTTACTGTTAAATACAATGAAGCTCAATTAAATATCAGTTTCTAATTCAGATATATATTCTAAAGAAACAAATTATGAAAAAAATATTCTTATAAATTTACCCTATTTCTCTGAAAATAAGACCTCCCTAGGGCTTTTGAGCTCATGCACTAAAATAAGCCCTTCCCCCAAAATAAGCCTCCCCTAAAATATTGCAACACATTAGCAGCCACGAGGTGACTACGCTTGCCACCTCCTGCAACTCAAAAATAATGACAGCTCCCCGAAAATAAGGCCAAGCGCTTATTTGGGGGGGGGTCAAAAGAAAATAAGACCCTGTCTTATTTTCGGGAAAACATGGCAGCATAGACTTGGCTAAAGAATCATTGCAGAAATACAGATAATTTCCCCATCATGTCTCACTGTTTGTCATTCAAAAGTGATTTTTTGCTATGTTGGAAATACCTTTAGGATATGTATTTTTAATCATTTAAGTCTTTCATCTTTTTAAATAGGTGTTCCTGTGTTTTCAAGGAATTGCAGCTAACCTCGTTGATGTCAAATTAAACAGAGCAGAAATAGAACAATTACAGGTGATACTCCTAATTATTTACACACACGTAAAAAGTTCAAGATTTTTGTTGTTGCATAGTGGGAAGACTGTTACACACTACCATTTTTCCTCAGACATATAGAATATCTCTTTCTCTCTCCCTCCCTCCCTCCCCCCCCTCCCCTCACACACACACAGAAATATCAGAAAATGGTCCAATCCAGATGTGCAAAACTTATCGCATCATACCCTAAAAGACTCAAGGCGTAATTGTTACCAAAGGTACCAACAAACTACTGAGTGAAGGGTCTGAATTCTTATGCCAATGTGATATTTCAGTTTTTTAAAAATAAATTTACAGACATTTCTAAACTTCTGTTTTCACTTTGTCATTATGGGATATTGAGTGTAGATTAATGAAAAAATGAGTTTCAACAACTAGAATGAGGCTGCAGAATAACAAAATTGACAAAAATGAAAGCGGTCTGAATACTTTCTGAATGCACTGTGTTTATTTATTTGCTTGTCTATGATTGATACCCCAGACTGACACCGATCACATCTGCCAACTCACATTGGACTAGCGTGTCAGATTATGGTCTATTCCAGTGATGGTGAACCTTTTTTTTACGACGTGCCAGAATTGCACACGTGTGCTACTGCCCGCACTCACATGCCTACTCAAGTTCCCGCCCAACTGTGCATGCGCACATGACACACACACACACACCCGTGCATGCAATCACCAGATTAAATTAGTCTTCCTTTGGACTTTGAACATAGGAATGGTCAACATTCAAACAATGAAAATGGTTGCTTTGTTTGAAGAACTGCTTCAATTTAATAATATGCATTCGGATATAATTGGAATATGTAAATCATGACAGAAAGGCAAAAATTTAGTTGAACTTGATAGGACTGAGCATTTACTCCATGTTATAAGTACCAAAGGTGGGCAATGTGGCAGATTTGGTTTTCTCATCAACCAAAAGCTGAAAGACTAGTAAAATTTGAAAGTTTATCTAATAGAGAAGCCCAATGCATCATTTAATTGAACAACTTTGCAACTTTAATAAGATTTGTATGCCGCCCACTCCCAAGGGACTCTGGGCGGCTCACAACAAAAGTAAAAACATAAAAGTATTAAAAATACAATTATTTAAAAATAAGATATCATCCATTCAATCAAGTGGGGCTGGATATTAATCAACAGCCCCAGGCGTGCCGGAACAGCCAGGTCTTGGTCGCTTTATGGAAGGCCGGGAGAGTGGTAAGGGTCTGGATCTCTGCGGGTAGCTCGTTCCACAAGGCCGGCACAGCTACAGAGAAGGCTCTCCCTGGAGTGGTCGCCAGCCGGCATTGTCCGGTCGACGGCACCCGGAGGAGGCCCAACCTGTGCGATCTTATTGGTCGTGAATGGCAG